TCATCAGATATTAATTAGTGAGTCTTTGGAATGGCTTATAAATAGTAATAGTAAAATAAATATGACTTTGCGCCGTGATCGATACCACATATAATTGCGTAATTGATCCTATAAATAATATTTACTTTGTAACAGAAGTAAAGTCGATTGAACTCCCTTTCATCCGTCTGTAAGAGCTGGAAATCTTGAAATTCTATAACTGCGGCCTCTTATTGCATTCACACTCTCAATTACCATTTTAAAAATGATATGTCAATCCATTTATCGTTTCTCTGAAATCGATTTAAAATGATATCGAGCTTTTATCGCGCCAAAGAAACGAGATGTGGCATCACTTGAAGCTTGTCATAATAATATTTTATTGTGCAAAGAACGTATACCCCACTTATTGGATACCTCTCCAATTCCCCAAGTAATAAAGTGCTTGCAATTCATATGGACTCAAATATACATGGAACATCAGACATTATAGCACGGTAAATGTGCCCCACCAAACGTATTAGGCATTGAGGTCTTGACAAAGTTTTGTTCCATGTACTGAAAGAAGGAACGAAATTTCGGCAATAATTACCAAATGTGCATGTGCTTGAGCATAAAGTGAATACAGGGTATCTGTCAGTTGGACTTATGGGAAATATTAATGGCAATTATGGCAATCATTAAAGTCCATACGATATCTATAGACTACTTAGTTTGGCATCGAATCATCTAAGGGACTAGAGCCCTTCAGGCATCTCTCTCTTTCGACTATTGCTCCTTTTAATGTGCCCTACTGAGGGTGCATAAATGGGCGAATAGACTCTCGAGTATATGTGTCTCTGGTAGACATGTTGCATGTGCATTTCTCATACCCGCTAACCACTTGTTTAACATAATCTCCCGAACAGAACTTCGACGCTGCCATCGTGCGTTCGGATACAAAGATAACAGCGGAAGTGCTCGCGGCTGGAGCTGGGAGCCTGAAGGTCGTGGGACGAGCGGGTGCTGGAGTGGACAACATCGATGTGGCTGCAGCGACGAAGCATAATGTCGTTGTCCTTAAGTAAGTAAATGTTGCCTAGGGAGGGAAGCAAAGGCAACAAAAGAACAACATTGGCAAAAGGCAAAGGCAAAGGCAAAGGCGAAGGCAAATATGCACGAATGTCGCATCGAATGCTCGGCTGGCGCTTTATTGAACGATGTGACGGGTCATATTAGGCTGCTTGCCACGCATAATTAGACGGCGCGCATTTTTGTACGGCGGAGTTTGGGCTAGACTGGTGTGGGATGGGTTGGTGTGTGTGTGGGTGTGGGTGTGGGTGGATGTTGATGTGGATGTAGAGTGCTTTATTGCCATTGAGCCGCCTGGATTGCCAAGGATACTGCGCGAATACGCGATATTTTAGACATTTGCATAACGCTGTCTAGTCAAAACAAGTACCTCCCCGCAGCACTCGCCGCGCACCGCTCCACCGCTCCGAAGGAGACCTAATGCCTAGTGTACTTTACTTTCAGCACACCAGGCGGCAATTCTATTTCGGCTTGTGAGCTGACGTGCATCCTAATTGGCGCTCTGGCGCGTCCCGTCGTGCCGGCCGGCCAGAGCATGAAGGAAGGACGCTGGGACAGGAAGCTCTACAGCGGCAGCGAGCTCTATGGGAAAACCCTCGCCGTGCTCGGCCTGGGCCGCATCGGACGCGAAGTCGCCATACGGATGAAGGCCTGGGGCATGAGGGTAACGCCTTATTGGTTCAATCAATTTGTTCAGTTTAGGCTAATAGCTGTTCATACGCTCAAATGCTAGATAATTGGCTACGATCCCATCACCACGGAGGCCGAGGCCAAGGCTGCTGGCATTGAAAAGCTTACCTTGGAGCAGATCTGGCCCCTCGCTGACTACATCACCGTGCACACCCCCCTGATACCGGCCACCAGAAGTCAGTTGACTAACCTGTCCGACAATGAGACAACGTCTAAGAGTTCCCCTCTCCCACAGATCTCATCTCGTCGGAGTCCTTGGCCAAGTGCAAGCAAGGCGTCAAAGTAATCAATGTGGCACGTGGCGGCATCATCGACGAGCAGGCGGTGCTCGATGCTCTGCAGAGCGGCAAGTGCGCTGGCGCCGCCTTCGACGTCTACGCGGAGGAGCCACCCAAGTCGGAGGTCACCAAGGCGCTCATCAATCATCCCAAAGTCGTGGCCACGCCCCATTTGGGGGCCAGCACGGCCGAGGCGCAAGTGCGTGTCGCCGTTGAGGTGGCGGAGCAATTCATCGCACTGAACGGCACCTCGCCCAAGTACACCAGCTACGCAGGAGTCATCAACAAGGATGCACTGGCTCATTACCAGTAATTCCGACGAATTTGTTTGCATTACTTTATAGCTGATTCAATTACACTCACATTCAAATTAATATCGTGTTTTCCTTCGCAACCCACTGAGCCGTAACCCGATTCAGTGAGCCAACGTGTGAGCCTACTGAAATGAACGTAAAAGTCCTCAAGACCCATGGGCTGACATTAAATTACCGTGATACTCGGTGCTAAGTCAATTAAACTCGGGGAAATGCCTATGTCAATTGAGTCCGCATTAGGCACTCGACTCGACTCAATTGGCTGCGTAGAAGAAATGCAAACCTGAGCCGTGCCGAAACCCAGACAAGCAGAGAGTGCTTAAAAATAACTTCAAGTGAGATATGGCAAAAGTCCAACGGGTATTCAAACAACGTAGTTACAGTCCCGGGCCCCTCATGTGGGTGATTCCTCAACCGCCTGACCCTGAACTAGAGTAAATGATATGCAAATGGACTTGTGTCCAAGCTGAAGCACGTGTGACCGATGCCCACCCCAATGGCCAACGGCTACCAGAGGATTAGACAGGAGCTGACAATGGGGTATGGGAATTGGCTGCACGCCGCACAAACTAAATTCAGTTGAGCTCAATTTAACTCTTTAACGAATTAAAAAAACAAAAATAATTTACCATTAGGTCACTCTTAATTAAAATTTCGGCGTAGCTGTGCTTGTTTTTTTTTTCGGGTGATATTTTGTGTCGTCCAGGTCCTCATGCGACACCCACGTAAAGCGCGAATTTCGCCACAGTGGCCGCTGTCAGTCATACGACGTTTAATTTTGGCGCGCATAGCCAGAGCCGTAACCGTAGCCGCAGCCGCAGCCCCCTTCTGTTTGTTGCCGGAACCGAAAGGAAGCGGCGCCCCCACGAAGCTAACGACATAAAAGGACCCAGCAGCCAGCAGCCGAGCGGCAGTCTCATTGGATACGCGGCCGAACAACAACGTACAAAGCACCACGCATAGCGCGACACGGATAACGCAACAAGTGAAGCAAGTGAAACGAGTGAGGCGCGGTTAGGGGCAGGTTGAGGGAAATGCAGCTGCCGTGCTCAGTGCAGTGTTCTTGACTCGTAAACCCTTTAGAGTTTCCGCTTAAGTGTCCCGGGCAGCTTACGAAAAACTTTACTGCCATTAAGTTTGCGCCTTGGCCACTGTAATGTGTCCGGTTAACATGACACGCAATCGCATTTCTCGCAATATCCGGCTCATCCTTGTGGCCATCGCCGCGCTCTCCTCCTCGCCGCGCCACTGCACATCGGCATCAAAAGACACAATAAATATTGGATTCCTAGCCGAATACTCTCAGATGCGGGTGAGTCGCGTTCGCAAATTAAAATGCAACACAATATACCAAGAAAATATGGGAGCTTATACTAAAAACTCAATATGATTAACTAAGGATTAAGGATGTTTCGAATAAATAATGAACACAAAAATCATTTAAAATTGAGTTTTGATTTTTAGAGCATTAATAAAACATGTATGTATATACAAAAATTATTGTATTGTTATGCAACTAATTTGTGAAAGCTATAAAATAATTAAGAATTTTATTTTAATAGATTATTGATTATGACAACATAATATATTTATATATCTAAAATAAATCAAAATATAAAATTGGTATAAAATGTGTGATAAAACCATATTAATTAAAGGAATAAATGCAAATTTTTTTAAAATTAAATATTATAAATTTTCGCTATATTTTATACTAATTTTTAGAGAATTCAATTTTCGGGCTCTGCATGTGAAGCAAAATGTTTGCAATTCAGGCCGACAACTGCAATAAACGGAATAAACAATATCTGGTAGTAGGATGACGCAGTGCCAGTGTATATATTGAAGTATTATTGATTGGATGTTAATTACATTTCCTTTAGATATGCAGTGGTGGGCACATATGGACCAAGTTGGGCAAGTCCACGTTAAAATGCCTGTTGAAAACTTAAAAAACGCATTCATCACTCAGTAATTTCCGATTTAAGTCCATAAGATATAAATAAAATAAAAAAGGAACTTAAAAAACATTTCTGAAAGTGTTTCAGGCATTTTAACGTCGATTCGGTAGACTTTTGATAGTTTCATTAGGCTGTGTATCACAGCAAATCCTACCAAACGCACAACATTAGTTTTTTTTTACCGTTTTCAGTGCTTTTAATTAGTGCAGTTTTTTGCATCTGAAACATCTTGGTTTGGGCTTATATCAAACACATTTTCCATCTACTTTGCCTTTTTCTGTATTTTAAGCCGAAGATACTGTACTTTAAGCCAATTACTTATAGCCAAATGGCCAATATGTTGACTTAATAGCGTTTCTTATATAAATACATTAAAGTTTACTGGTCCTCAAATACTCAACTGTTCTTATAAAATTGCTGGAAATATAAACAAAATTAAAACAGAAAAGTCCAAGTTGATTTTTCTGGCACAGAGTTTTTATTTGTTTTGTTTAATATTTATAGATACAAATCCTCCACAAGTCAGTTGAGAATATACATATATATTTATGTACAATACATATTCTATAATTCTCAATTAAAGCTGAGTATTTAATATTGTTTATAAATATATATCTATGAACGTAGAATATGTATACAAAAAATTTAATGTATCAAAATTCCTTTT